AGGCGGAAATATTTGCTATTGACATGGGTGCTAAAATCCTTCTTGAGAGAGGGGAAAAAACTCTCCAGGCGTTGCAGACCGTGAAAACGATGTCGGCTCTGGTTAATGACTGTAAAAGAACTTTAAACACACTGAGTTGTGATAACAGAGTTTTTCTGATCTTTGTTCCAGGTCACTCTGGAGTTGCAGTCAATGAAGTGGTAGATGCGCTACTACGAGAGGGCAGCGCTAAAGCGTTTGTGGGGCCAGAGCTAGCAGTTAGTACATCATTTGCGATGGCCAAACATATGATTGGACTGTGAGCTAAAGAGAGACTTCGCTTACTGTGGACCAATTCTCCAACCCAACCCAACCCGGGAGTATTTTAGGGTTTGCTCGTAGCAGCATTAAAGCTCTATTGGGTGTCTTTACTGGGCACTGCCGATTAAAAGCACAACCTCAACTTGTTGGGTCTAGCCGACGATGTTGAATGCCGACTATGTGCAGAGGACGAGGAAACGGTTGAGCATGTTTTATGCCACTGCCCTGCTGTTAATCGTATCAGATTCCTAATTTTTGGGTCAGTTTATGTCCTAAAAGGATCTGAATGACTTTTCACTGAGCAAGGTATTAATGTTCGTTAAGAGTATTGGACTGCAATGTTGGTTGGTCCTCCTATTCGATATGTAATTTATGTAAATGTAGTTCAATTAACACATACTGTGAAAGGCTTCTTACTTATAAAATTTGTCATCATGACACAAGGAGCTATATTAAATTTATTTCAAACTCCATTATTATACAATGTTATCAACAATAAATTACGTAATCAGATAATACTTGTTAATAAGGTTTAGTAATATAATTCCTCGTTTAACTTGCATTAATGATTTTCTATTACAGTTACAACTATTACAACTATCGGAAAAGCTTTAGTTAATTAACGTATCGAATAACGAGACGAGTTAGAAATCGTGATTCCATCTCAATTAAGGAGATTCTAGTTTTGTTTTTCTTTACTTTTTGGGAGGCGATTTGTCGATTTGCATTAGTGCTAGACTTCCACTCTACCAAGTGAAAAAAAACAGGAACCGAGAGGGGGAGATTTAGGTTCCGGAAGATGTTGGTAAAAGTCTAGAAAACTTTGTTTCGCTTGTTTTACGGTGCATTTGCTACGAATCAACGTCGCAATGTATAGATTGGTGGTTAGTTTAACAGAACTTAATCCGACTTCATTCGGTTCTAACATTGTAAACAAAGAGAGCCTCCTTTAACATCGATTTATTCAATTAAGTATGGATAGCTGAATCAAGTTAAAATCAACCAATTTCGATTCAAATTTTGGATAATAAAATAATATTGACAATAAATCATCAAGTGGCAACATTGTTTCGGTTCAGGTCATAAGTCACCGCCAATTATGGCTGTCAGAATAGCGTAACGAAATTCGCAAAACAGCTGCTACGTGCTGATGTATTCGTTAGGTAACAGCTCAGCGTCGACTTTACATCAATCAAATTTGCATGCGAGATCAAGAAAAATGACTATTCCCTCAGGCAATTCGTATATGCGCGAGATTGTTCCATCGGACACGTCAGATTGATATTCATCTCATTCACTTCATCTATATTCTCATTTTTCAAACTTGAACCAAAGCAAATAAAATTACTTTTAGGATAGTTTAGTTCGCAGTAAGTAAACGAGGAAATCATTAGAACATTCTAGAACCAATAAACCTTTGCTGCAAAGTCGAACAAATCGCGTTTAAGGTTGTAACACCGCCGCCATCGCCCTTTATTTACCCCATTAAATATTTTTTATAACTTTTTCATTAAGCTTTAGTGGCCTCCTCGACGGTAAGCGCGACGGTTTGACTCAGAGAATGGCAGACATAACGAAAAATTTAGTGGAGCCGGGTCTAGGAGAGATTCACCGTTATCGTACCCCCTTAGGGAAGGACTCCGATTTTCTTGCCTTCTTTTTAGCGCCCTTTATCCAACGACGATTATTACCGGCTGAATCAATGCCCTACCCTCTTCGTGTCCCACCGACACGTGGCAACGCCCTCTGCCTTTGCCTCCATATCCCTTGGTTTTTGGGAGAAAGAATACCGGCGTTTTTACTTAATGAAATGAACGTTTGCGCAACGACAAAGCATCCCTTCGTGTCTTCGTTGAACTCGGACAAATAGGGTTCCTTGGAATTGAGATATTCAAATACGTGGGATCCTACGCAAATTAAATATTCTTTGGGACCAATGACACTATTTGTTCTTACGACCAAATGAGAATTCTCGGAAAGCAATAAGTTTTATGTTTATTAATTTAATCTTCATTTATTCCCGTTTGGTTTAATGCTTCTCGTTAGGAAGTTAATAAAATAAATTAGGAGATGTAATAACAATAATAATATTGTGATTGGTGAAAGAGGAAAATGTTTAATCGACCAACTAGATTGGATTTTATAAATCAAGCAGACATTCTCTCAACAGTTCTAATTTTAATTAACAATTATGTTTCAATTTTCTTAAATCTTTATATCTTTATTGAATTAACACTTGTAACATCTAACTAGAAACAATCAGGTTTAACAGTGCGTCTTTCAAGACTTCTTGTTATATATCTTGTAATATATTCGTAATTTAATAGCTGCTTAATAACTTAATAACTAAATATGTATCTATACCACCTTGAATTGTGTCTTTAGTGTAGGATCGCTTGAGAATTATCCGTTAATAAGCGTTAAACACAACATAGTACAGCATTGCTAAACTGTTTACCGATAGTTTCTCTGACAAATTCCAACGGTTTCCACTACACAGGTACGTTGCAACCGGTTCGCTCTGCACGAGCTAAATGGAATTCCAACGAAACCGATGGTAAACTTCCATATGTTTGCTGAAGTGGGATTGCTAACGGGATCGTCTAACTTTACCGCATCTGCGTGGTCGATCCATATCGTGAATGCGTGCGAAACGATGTCGATGCATCGAACCAATATCTGCGAGTGTAAAAATTTTACGATATCTGAGTAGTGCTGAAATTTATTGCTCTGCGTATAAGAGTCGGTTTATTGCGGCGAATTGAAGACTACACAAGTTGCTCATAGATAAATGGACCGTAAATAGTACACGTCTATAACTGCCCCTATTATTTACTCCAGTTGCGCTTTCGTACTCGGACTTTGGCGAATTTCAATTGTCGTTTTACAACAGTCGTAAAAGATGTTATTAAGAAAATAAAACTCTTAACTGATTGAGAGTTGAACGGCTTTATTTATTTTCGGTTCGATGTTTTCACTTCACCACCAATTTTATTAAGATAATGTCAGACCGGTTTAAAATTTGATATTAATGTTTGCAAAAAAAAAAATTAAGGCTACGGGTGGGCGAGGTAATATATAATGAATGCTGAATAGAAGTCAACGGAGACAGCAAATTGTAAGAAAAGAAATTGATAAATTGCCTTCGACGAGAACTGGAGAAAAAAACTTTTCAGGTTTGCGTTAGGGTGGGTTTTTACAGAATTTTTCATGTAAATATAAGTGCTTTTGATGTAATATTTATTTTAAAAAAAATTAATCTAAGACGATTTTCAAAGTTAATACGACAGATTTTTCTTTCAACGTAGAGCGCATAACTTATAAATTTATCAAACTATCCACTCCACCTGTCCCAGCCGATAGGATTTCGAAGTTATTTATTCCAACATTAGCGATTCGCTTTAGTACCTTCCCTCAGACAAGATTTGAATTTCAAATAAATTCGCTTCCTTTAAAGTGCAAAGCAGCTAACGGGAGGATGTCGGGGACGTTTCAAAGTTGAATCAATTATAATTATGTATATAATTATGTGTAGATTTAGAATTAAGTGTACATGCATTAAATTAATAACTTAATTTTATGTGATTTTTAATTTTAGCACTAGAACTAACAGTAGACCGGTAGTCGTGCCATCTAGACATGCCTAAACCCGAATGTTTTTACTTTTAGTTCAATTAACATCGGATATGAAAACCTTCGTACTTAGATTGTTCTTATTTCTAGTATTATTCTAGAAGTATCACAAAGAATTTGAATGATAATACCTCTCTTAAAGTTTCTCTTAGGATAAAGTTGCACTTCTACGTTATTAATTTGCATAGTTTATCTTCCCCGCTTCACACTTTCCGCGATATTAAAGCACCGTGAAAGAATAAATGGTGAAGCGAGAAGCTAAAAAAAATATTAATTTAATTTGCTTTGTAAAATGGTTGTGATGTAAACAGTTATGATTCAACAACGATACAAAGAACGTGAACATATAAACGTATACAGAATTATGTACACGTTTTGACGAAATTACAACGGGTAATTAAGTTTCACAGCCGGCTGTTCCCTAATTTTACTTCAATATAATCGCATTTATAATTCCCTCAGACGAATAATTACGGATGATAATTAAACGTCAAATTCAAACGGAATAATATAATCAAAACGAACCTACATGTACGCAGAATGTCTCCGGGAATAACATCGCATCCAAGATATTCTCTAAATTGTAATTTAACTAAAATAATAATCATTGAAATAACTAAAATTATCTTCTAAAAATGAAGCGTTTTTTTCCCATTGAAATAAAACCTAGCTGGAAATTTAATTCACATAGCCGGTGAACTTAAAGTTTATATTTAATTTTCATTACGGTTATGGGCATTAAAACGTAAAGTTGGAATATCATATCGAAGCTTAATATTGAAACAGCAAGACCTAAATTCATTTAACGCTTATTACGCTCTACAAGTACCATTTAGCGAAACTGCAATCTAAGTTAAGTCCCGTTATCTATTTAAATGAATTTTTTACTTTTCAATATCTACTTTACAAATTAATTTCTTTTAACTTGTTTTAATATTGATTTATTTTATTTTTATTTATCCATTTTCTATGAAATATGAACACCTCAGAAATTGAATATCATTTTCTGGATACATTTTCATGCAGATCTTCACCGAAATGAAATAGTAAAATGAAACGTGACTTACCGGTCCTCGGCACGTACAGGTTGAGGTAGAGGCAGTCTTCGCTCTGGTTCGCCAGCAAAGGCAGCAATTTTTCGAGGTAATGCAAGCGTCCTCGTGGAAATTCTAAAAGAGCTTCCGTCCTGTTGCCGATATCCGGCGGACGTTGAGGGCAAACAGCACTGAAACGGTCCGCCAGGCGAGTGTTCTTCCATATCGACGGCGTCACTGGTGGCATGTACCTGAAAATCAAATAAGAAAACCTGTATTGAATATCCTGACGAAGGAAAGTTGATTATGGATCATGTTTGTAAAATTCACATAAAGAATATGTTGGATTAAAAATATTAAAAAGTCATTCAAAAGGTACAATAATACAATAAAATAATAGCGTTAGTATTTAATCAAATAAAGCCTACAGGTGCCCGTCCTCATCAAAATCCATAACAAAACCAGCAGAGAACCCCAGAAATTACACAGCCCGGTAATTTCCATAGAGCAACGCGATATTAAATTACTGCCGCTTTCACTGTGAACAAAGCTGACTGGTATCAACGCGTTTCATCCCGTAAGGGGAGGTTAATTAAGAAACTCAAATAATGGCAGCATAGCCCACGGGCCCGGTAACGCGTCCAATTACCCTTCGATATCGACTTCTGCATGACTAATTTCAAATTTTCCTTCATACAGCCATCGTCGATTTTAAACGATTTCCGGTTTTATTCTATTAAAAGAAAATCGAACGTTTATTGGGGGCGACGCCCCGATTGCCGGGAGGCTAGCATTTCTCTTCTAAAGGAAGACCGGCGCGGCCCTGTGGCAATAAAGCAAAATGACGGGATTACCGGAGATGTGCTTAATGGGAACGGGTATACTCCCTAATCCCCGACCCTTTACCGGGAAGAACCATCTGGCGAAATTAAATTTCATAATGCCGCAGTCCGCTCGTTAGCCGGGATCATGGGATCGACGGATGACAGCCCAAGAAGGCGACAACGTTGGTGATGATGGGCTCTTGAAGGATTCAACAATGAGAAGTGCAACCTACATAATGGAACACTCAAATGCCAAGAGTTCATTAAGATAACAATACCACAAGACAATGTGGTACTTATACATTTAGATATTATTAGGTAAGTGGAGATATTAATGTGAATTATATGGTTTGGGTGTTTTAGGCAAAAATTGGAATTGAAACGTTTTATTAAATTTAATATTCTTTTCTAGTTATTCCCTTAAGGTATCTACGAAGTATTGCAACTAAGAAATCTGTTGGAGAAGTTGCTTGTTCATTAGGTTTATAGTAATATTTCTTCTGCGCAGCCTCCGCTGGGGGAGATAACTCATCAACTGTTCCTTTGGAAGAAAATGGTATTGTCCCTTTTGGGAGACAACTTCGCAGTTATTTATATTCCCTTAATTTCAATTTTATTTTGTCGTCCAGGGAAGTTTATAAATTTATCTAAATTAAGCGTAATGTATTTTTGAAGAGTTTTTCATAGTTTGTGTAAAAACATATTGATTGATTATATTGACTTACCTAAGACTTCCAACAGGTGGTGTCGCATATGGTACCCCTAAGAAAGCTTCAACAGTAGGATGAATATGTATCATCACACCTCTTAAAGGCCCGTACTTAGTCCTGACCACTCTCGTGCTATATTTATGTACTGTTAAAGATCCCACGGTATTATCAACCACCACCACGACCACAACCACCAACATCGCGAAGACGGAAGCGGCAACGGTACTAAGGTGTCCCGTTGCGCAAACTAGCGCACACATGACGTCACGCGATTTTTCGCGCCCAACACACACGCTCCCACATGTCCCCTTCACAAGTCCCAACACTTCTCCCCCACAAATTCAATCCACCACATCCGATAACGATATTTCTTAAAGTAATCTTCGCTCACATTTTCTTTGTTTGATGTCGATCGCCTGATTGGTGCTTTTGGATGAGTTGCAATGTTATCACGTCCATGCTTAAATCCATTTGAAAAGGTTTTTGATATCTTCATGTTTGCGTTTCGAGTTCAATTCAACGATGTGGCATTGCATATTATTTATCTGTAAAAAAAGAAAACTTTGTCAATCTTTTTGGATTAATAAAAAGGGAACAAAAGAAATTGAATTTTCGTTGTTGGATAAAAACAGAAGAAAAAGGAGAAAATCTCGTTGAAATTCCTTGATCGTCGACAGTAGCCATTAGAGAGGGCTTCAAAGAAAGTACGCGAAGTCGGATTCTAGCTTGCCAAAGTTTGCGATAGCATTTACAAATGGCCAATAAACCACCCCTAACTGACCCTAAGTACGTGCTTAGTAGGTCAGGTCGATGTTTGTCTGTTTAAAGTTCCTCGTTGTTCCGATAGGGCTTATCAGACTCGTATGTCGTGTACTCGAGTTTTGAATATAAATTGCCGTCAAGTGACCGAATAATATTTCAATTTGGATGTTAACCGCCGTCGAGTCGCCGACAGTAAATATCTCGAATTGGAACGTACCCGATTTAAGAAGGACTTCATTTATCCAAACCCGGAAAAAGCTCCGGTCTTATTAAGCTCGATTTGAGTGGGCGGATAAAAGAATTTTAAAAGATGCAAGAATGAAATTGCGCTCAGATGAACCTTGATTGCGGGGATTTTTCGTTTCTTTTAGGTGTAATTGGAGTTCAAGATAATTTTATTCCCATTTTCTGATGGTAAAGTGGTTAAAATGAATTAAAAATTAGTCGGATTTGCATTGATTGACGTAATTCTAATTTTTAAAATTTTAAATTTTAATTAGTATACCGGGAATTTCATATAACTCGCAATATATGAATGCTGTAATCATAGTTACGAAACTACCGTGCGCTTGCACTGTCCCACATAAAATGCAACATTATAGCTTAATAGTACAGGCATTGGGTAGTTTTGCAAAGGAAAAGTTTTGCTTGCAAAAACTCGGTTCGGCTAAACCCGAATGTTTCTAGTTCTAGGTCTAGTGTTAGTTCTACTTTTCGCTCAATAAAAATATACCGCAATCTAACGCTGAATAACAATTAAAACTAGAACTAACATTAGACCTAGAACTAGAAACATTCGGGTTTAGCCGTGCGTCTTCAGACATAGTAGTGACATGTTGCATTTTTTGTGGGACAAACTAAAGTACGCCCTGGTTTCTATGGAAATAAATTTTTGAATATTGCATCTTAACTGAAATTCATTGTATGTAACGTTGGAGAATATATTTAATGTTTTTTAACATTACTAACAGATTATTTATGTGCATTCATAATTTGTTGAGCTATATTACTTGGTAAATTTGCCTGTTACATATTTATTAAATAATTGCACCAACCGCGTTTTAACGAACCACGTATTCCCAATAAGTTTGAGCGGCAATTCATTAAAATTGCACGTACAATAAATTTTAATTGCGTTTTATGGCGGCAACACTGACGCGCGGCGTTTAAATCATTCATACTGCGGCACTGTTAATTTATATCCAATAATTTCGGCACGCTCCCGCGCGTCGCTATTAAAATAAACGATTCCGAAATTTTAAGAACATTAATCAAAACGTCACTTTGCGGCTGCATAAATAACTTTGTGACGACGCGACGACACAGTTATTTTCTGAAAATTGGTTCTCACATACAACTTGAACAGTGTACACCATTAAATGAATGAGTATCAATGGATAGTGTACGAATACGCAGAGGAAAATGATTTACGAGGAATTCACTGTGATGATTATTGGTATTTATTCCCCCATTGTAGTTGTTAATCTATTGTCGAAGTCTGGATCATGTTGAAACCGAAATGGAAATGAGAGTGTGCATTTCGATCGATTGGTCATTATTGAGAGAAAATGGTCATACCGCAGAATCAGCTATTAAATGCAGAGTTCGTTAGGATTGTTCTCATTCTATCTAATTGAATTTAAATCTACTTGGGTACTTTTCTGATGATTTCGAATTCCCATTTCGCAAGATGTCCGTCACTTTCGTAAATGAAGTTTCACTCAGACTAATTCCAATTCACATTCTAGTATTATACGGAAGGAACGTGCGCAGGATATTTTCTCGTGGTCGACGGGCAAAACCGAAATGCACGCGCGACGTCCGATCGTAAATTTTGTTGGCCGGAGGTGCTCTTTGCCCGTGGGCGAAAAGTCACTTCGTATGCAGTGGGAATGTATTGTGGGGGTGCTAGTTCGGGACGATTTATTCCGTATTCCGGCGTCATCAGTGAGACCGGGGGCTTTACGAGTTCGAGAGCCGATAAAGTTGATATTTGGCCAGGATTCGGCCCATGACCTAAATAATGAAGGGAACGTAAAAATCGGCTTCGTTCGCGCAACATTCGATATTAAATAACGCCACCTGGCTTATCTCGTTTTATGGAAGCTCTAAAATAAATTCGGACACTTTTTCTGGACCCAAATGTCATACTGAATAAGATAAAAGACTGAGATAACTAAGAAGACATTTAAAATAATCACAAATCCGTATAGGGATGTTTTTAAAGTCAAATAGTTTGAAGATCGTAATCAATTCTAAACGACTCTTGTGAATTCGAAATGGATCTACAGAAGACTTTAATTGTTAATCGGTGAAACCCCGACGGCTTAATTATGTCAATTGTTGGAAACGACGTAGAGCGGTGGCGTGCATCGTACCTCATCGATTCCCAACGTTCACTTTAATTCTAGTCATATCCGTTCGTAGCATCACAATTTGCAGTTACTACGGTGGTAAATTCAATTAACTTATTAAATTTGCTATTTATGGGCCATAAAATCGCGCTCCTGATTATGGCATTGGATTCATTGACCGAAGAGGACGGTATGGGCCCTTAGGGCAAACTTTTAGTCCGGTACCACGTCGAAACGACGATACACAAGATCGCCGGTTATTGGATGTCTCGAACGAAACTTTCGATATCAAACTTTACGCTAGGGTAGTTTATTTAGATGAAAAACGAAAATGACTTTTTTAATTCGAAACGGTGAAAACTAGAATTAAGCGAGGTGGTTTTAGTTCACGTAAAATGTTTTTCTGGAAAGCGGAAGGGCTCATTGTCTTCGCCATGTTCATGAAACTCAAATAAACAACGAGCCCTGCGGAAAGTTAGCGTCGAAATTGCCGCGATTAGGGAAGTTTTCTTGTGCGCGTACAAAAATTACAGCTTAAACTACTGAACGTGTCGTCAGCTACAAAGTGTTTCATAAAGCCGAGGCTATTAAGCCACCTTCGGTTCGTTTAGCAGCTGGCGTTCGATCAACCTGGATAACGTGGAGAAACGGACTTTTCAAAGTGTTCGATTGAAAGCTTGTAATACAATTCGTGTTTCAATTATTAAATAAAAGAAAATAAATGTGTTCGTTTCTAGATTTAGACTTAACATATAACGAGTTCAGGTTTGTATAATCAACAAACCACGTTGTTGTCGAGACCATATAGTTTAAATTTCATGAGTTGCCAACCCCAATTTCATGAATATCAATAAGACCTTGTCATCACCTTATATAAATTCATCCGTCGCCTCCTCATCCACTTTCCTTAGACCGGTAAAGTACTCCTAGCAATTTATTACACAATCCGGTGATAGCCGATTGCCAACTGCTGTAGATACGTCATTGTCATCTCGTTGTTCCAAGAAGTCGTCACCTGATTTATTGCGTTGTTTTAGTTTTCCCGGAACAGGACAATATATCAAATTAGGGACTTCTCTAAAATGACATCAATCTTAATTTGTCTTTGTGGTAAGGAGGTCCGGATAAAATGGGGTGATGGCGAGATTATTGTTTTGGGAAAGAAATGAAGTTTTTTGTATAGCCGTAACATATTTTATTTATATCGGTGATCGTGTTTGGTCAGCATTTCGGTAAACAATTCCAACTTCCGCTTATATTTAGTTGTTACACATCTATCATAAATCATATAACACACACAATGAAAGAAAAACTGAAACAACAAGAGAGACAACGCGGCCAACTATTCGCGTAGATTTATGAACCGGAAGCGTCCCTTTAAAAGATTGTGAACAGAAAGATAAACAGCGAACTCGATATTTCATCCCACGACTCGGTGTATCGCGAAGGGAGGCAGATAAGCTGGATGTGGGAAGGGTTGTAGGTTGCCGATGGCCGGGATTCCCCAGGGAGCAACGGTCTGTACAAGTCAGATAAAGACCGAGGTACAATCCCGTAATTAATCCTGAGACAGGAGCCGAATGACCGAGGGAACACCGACAACGTCTCCCGAAGAACCGGTGGTTTGTTTGACACGACAATGCGATTATGTACGGGGTTAAAAACCTACACATCTCACACTTTATAATATACATATACATATTCCATTAACGTCAAATTTCTTTATGCAAATTAACATTGTAAGAGAACGTCACTATGAAATAAAACCATAAAATATTTAATTTTAATAAAACCTTGGTATATGGTATCCCAAAGGAAAAAAGGTTCTGTTCTCACCCTTATAAATCACCTGGATCATATAAACCGAAAAGGTCTTGACACAGTCTTGAAAAAAAACGGTTTTCCAGCCGAGGGAGTAATGCGCTTTTTTTCCAGTTAAAAACTGAGGGGATACAATTTCGTTCGGGCTATGTCGTTAGCATACCCGCAGGGTTCAAACCCCCGAATAGCAAAAACTTATTGTTCTGCTTCGTATGAGCGCGTGACATGTCAACGGCACACGGCGGACGTCCTATTTCGAACGCTTGCAAGCACCGCAGCCGTTCGGTTTTCTACCCACTACTGTCAAGTTCAGAATTTACAAGCGACGAAGGTTGCGCGGAACTGAGGCCCTTCTGATTCAATTTGGATTTACAAATAAAAAAGAACTACATGTCACCTTCAATAGTCCAGTTTCAATAGAAACAAATTTTAAAAAAGGTGTTGACGTTTTTCAATCTTTCTGTTATGAAATCTTAATTTAGAATTAACACTAAACCTTGTACTAGAAATCCGAATGTTTCTAGTTCTTGGTCCAATTTTCGTTCAAATCTTAATTCCATCGTAAACTAGAGATTCCTTCCAGACAAAACGTGTCAACGATAAAACAT